ATAGTGTCTATAATATATATATATACAAGGTCCAAATCTGGGTGGAGTTAGACTGTTCAAAAATACATCCGGCAATGCTAAACTAAGTAGCTAAATACAACAACCAAAAACAAACGCCATCTGCCAGCTGCAGACTCTCCTCAGCACACCAACCTAATCCTGCTCTGCTCTCATACATAGTATGATCATCGCAGTCCAAACCACATGGAAACAACAAAGGGTAAGCTAGTGAAAAGAAATAACATACATATATAAATATATGAATAGTACACAGCTACAGCTATCAGCACATCAATCAGCTTAACAAAATCAGCTTAAAATACCACAGTATTCAGCAATAACAGCACCGACTTAGCGGCTATTACAACACCACATTAGTGGCTATAACAGCACCGACATAGCGGCTATAACAGCACCACAATAGTGGCTATAACAGCACCGACATAGCGTCTATAACAGCACACATCTCACATCATCAGCATATAACTCATCAGCTATACCGCATAAACAGCAATAAAACATACAATGCGTCGTCACACATATCAGCTCGGAGATCTCCTACAATAGCTCAGCCTTACGGCCTACAACAGTTTATATCAGCATACAACACAGCATAGCTTAACAGCAATATCAACTTACAGCACGGCTAAACAGCTTACAGCACAACATTATCGTCTTTTAGCACAACTAAACAACTTACAGCACAACAATATCAGCATCCAGCACAGCTAAACAACACAGCTCAACATTATACAATACAACATTTCAGTAATAACAACATACGACATTAACAGCTTATAGCAATAACAGCTTACATCCCAGCTAGTAATATTCAACACAGCTTAACAGCTCACAACACAGCAATATTCACCAATTACAGCTCAACATCATAATGAAGCATAAACATCTCACAGCACATCAAAATCATCACTCAGCTCAACAACATTCATCATCAGCATAAACAACATTTGGCACAGCTCAGCATAACAACAATAACAGCTCAACAACATTCAGCACAACCCAGCTTAACAGCAATAACAGCTCAAACAACATACAGCATATTCAACACATAATACTGCGCATCCATCTTGTTTACAACTCATCTATCTTGTCAAATTACCCACCCAAACAACACCAATCAACCTAGTACCTAAAATAACTTTCAACTTAACCAAATCACTAACTGTGAAATGGCAACCTTCACATAAAACAGCTCATCAGGAGTTATACTACTCCTACCATGCTCATCCTTATCTCATATGAAAGATAAGAAGATTTCCTACAACTCTCATGAAGAAACCAAGTCTTAATTCCTTCATCTACCTTGTTAAAAATTATAAAACCCGCAACATCTACAACCAATGCTGGCAGCTTGACCCCTCTTCACTAAAACAGCCATATATGGAGTTCTAGGACTCCTTTTTGGGTGATTCCAGCTCCATTGGAAAGCTAACATCCAAGGCTACAACTTTCATGAAGACTACAAAGTCCAATTCGGAAAGCACAAAAGAGATCAGCGCCTCCAAAGCGCTCAACACTTTACCTCCAGGGATTCTCCTCTTGCTCTCTGCCCCCAAAGGGCTCAGCCCTTCAAAATGGCTCAGCCGTTTCAAAAGCGCTCAGCGCTTTAAAACGGCTCAGCCGTTTGGCTCCAGAAACTCTCCCGTGTCACGCAATCCCTAAAGGAGAAGGGAAAGTATAAGGTGAGTGATGAGAGGGAGAAAAGAGAGAAGAATGCTACGGGGTCTCATAGATTAAATCTGCAAATTTTTAGAAAATTTGAAAATCATTTGATACTTCATTTTATTAATTTGAATCAATGTATAAAATTTTATAATTTAAATTGACAGATAATCATAAAATCATTTTATACATTGATTCGAATTAATGAAACGAAGTATCAAATGATTTTTAAATTTTTTAAAAATTTGCAAATTTAATTTATGCATTAAAATTTTTTAATTAAACAGTTTGATCGTTAAAATTTAATGCAAACGTAAAAGGATCCCTCCTCTCTATATATATATATATATATATATAAACATACTTCATATTTCTTAACCCTACCCTTAACGAGGTTAGCATTTTTCTTATATTTTCTACCTTATGGTTTCCTAATATATGCTGCTTTTGCTTTTGTGCCCTGTTGTCTAATTTTAGATCTTGTGATACTTTGACTTTAGCTTTCCTCTTTTTTTTCCCTTTTTTTTTATGACATCAGAGCAATCCAGAAAAGAAAGTTTGCAAAAGATTAATGTCATGATTTTTATTTCAATTTTAAATTGAGATATAGATGCATTAAATTTACCCAAAAAAAAATGAAAATAAGGCAGACAACAAAATCATTAATTAATAATAGTTATATTTGCAAAATTGCTTAATTGAATGAAAAGAATTTTGTAAAATATAAAGGACTGTGTTTTCTCTCAAATATATTTCGTGGTACTGAATAATACTCCTTTTATATTTAATTAGAGGGAAAGAAACACTTCGAGTTTTTATATTTAAAACAAAATAAAAATAAAATAAAATTGCAATTATATGAAGGTAGAAGTTAGAATGAGAAAAGTAACCATTGTAACTTTGAATTGTGAAATGGTGCGTGAGATCAGAGGTAGCAATTATATTTCAAAAGATAGTGATAAGTTACCTTTAGTTCAACAATTTTTTGTTGCATTTTCTAAATTGTTTTTATTATATTCTTTAAGTGAAATAAATATAATTGCAAGGTGGTACATAATTATAGTATGATTGAAAGATAAAGTTGTCTAACTAAATGTTTATAAACATGGACATTCTTTTATATATTATTATAGATATATCTATAAAAATTATAAATGATGAGTTCGAAAAAAATAACTTATTAATTAGATGTTAACAAAAAAATTTATAGATTCAGAGTTTAAGAAAAATAAAAATAAAAATAGATTGAATTGAGAGTGTTTTACATGGCTAATAAATTAACTAATAAATATTATATTAAATGATATTTTAATAATTTATCATCTTAATAAAAATCAGGACAATAATTTTTAAAATATAAATGGTAAATTGGTGTCTTTAATTCAGTCATTGAAGTGATTTGGTTTATTGAGTTTGACGTGTGTAAATGGATTTTTATTCAATATAAAATTCTGCTACAAAATTATTTATTTTTATCTATATATAAATCAGATATACAATTATATATATTTATATATATATATATATATATATATATATATATATATATATGCACTTTAAATTATATAATTAAATCTTAAATAGGTATAAAATTAAAACTGACGAATAATTTATATTATACATTTCAAAACAATTAATATTAGTATAAATATTATATTATAATATGTTAAATATAACTCAAAGTTTTAAAAACAATTAAAAGTATATAAAAGTTTTTAAAATTAATTTTGAATTTAGCTAATTTTATGGGATATATATAACGGCACTTGAACACTTATTCGGGGTTGATTATCACATTCTAAATTATATAATCAATAAATAAGATGATTGAGCGTCAATGGTTTGGTTAAAATTTGATACTTGTGAATTAAACTAACTTTTCTAAATTCATTAGGTTGGTCCACATTAATAAACATCAATATTTTAGCTGGTAAAAATGTTTATTATTTACATCTTCATGTTCTTATTATAAAACATACGAATTAGTAGTAGTTTTTTATAAGATATTTTATAATTTTTATAAATATTAATTCTTATTTTTATTTTATATTTTAATTAAAGATTATAAAAATATGTATTTTTCTTTGACTCTTAAACTCTTCAATTGTTATTTATCATTTTTATTGGTATTTGGTAATTTCTTCATTTTTCTCATAAAAATTTAATGAAGTAAGGAGGGTAAAATTGATAAATCATATTTTTTTATATACTTAATAAAATCAACTAATATAATTATTTATATTGGTTTACATGATTCAGATAGAAGTATCTTATAATAAGAATCGGGGTATAAAATCAACTAATATAACTATTTTTTTTATCATTTTTTTTTATTTTTTTAAAATACACTATTATAATCGCTTTTAAGTTACAACTCCCCTGTTTTTCTTTTGTGATATACTATTTTATTATGCAACTTTTTTTTTAATTATTGTAACAGAGATATTAATTATTAATGTTAATATTATTACAATTCCCCTGTTTTTACAATTTTTATAGCCGCTTCTTTTTTATTTTGTTTAATTTTGTTTTTTATTTTAATTCCTTGTTTACTTTAAATTTTTTGCTACATAATAAAATTTAATGCTTAATGATATTTAAATTTTCAAATTTTATCGATATAAATTGTAAAGTAATGCAGAAAAAAAAAGTTTTTATTGAAAATTATAATTAATTTAATTTGATAAGATAGTTCTTTTTCAATTTGAAGCTAGACAACTCATATATATATATATATATATATATATATATATATATATATCATTCTCAATTATTTTTTTCTATAATCAATAGTATGTTGCAACTTTGATGATTACTTTACATAGAGATTTTTTGTTTTTGGTATTAAGGAAAGATTACAAAAAGAATTGAGTCTAAATCCTCATTCATCTATTCTAACCCTTTAATAGGCCAACCTTAATAATTCTTTTACATATAGAGATTTGAGAATTTTCATGTGATAGTGAAAGAAAAATTTTCACATGTTAGTTATAAAGAAGTTTGTTGCAGTTTAATCTAAATTTTTAATATTTGTTTTAGCCAATGTTATTTTATAGTTATTTGTTTTAGCTAATGTTATTTTATAGTTATACACGTATCATGTTTTGCCTATGTTTTTTTTTTTTTCATTTATCATTATAATTATCATCATGATAATTACCATCACCTGACTGAAATTACTCAAATTAGTAAACTGTCTAATAATCTAATTTAAACCGTAACAGATGTACATATTGACCCTGTTTACTGATAAACAGATTTCTCTTATTTGACAGTTAAAATTGGTTTTATATAGTGCATTTTTAGAGGCAGGGAATGGAAAATCCATAGCAGAATCATTCAAGTTTTGGGTAATTTGTTCAGAGAAAATGAGACAGAAATAGTTGTAACGAGATTTCTACCTGGTGATGACCAATGACATCGAATCCTCAAACAAATGACACCCAAACACAAAGTAAACCCCAACATGACTTGGTTTTATATGTTCACTCCTATTAATGGTCAACATTCATCCTCGTACCAAAGTCTTCATATGATAATTGATTAATTCATCTTTGTTGGCTACAAATATCTAACTTCTAAGGGTATTCAAGGAGAAAGCAGAAGTTAGACTTGGAAGGAAAAGCCAATTGATATTGCATCACAATCACCCATATATCAAATACATAAGCTTAAGGATTCACATTCACTTGTCGGAATAATGGACATGCAACATGTGAAAGATCAATACTTGAAACGACACGTGACTACAGGATGTTACGACGTAGATGTGTCAAATCCCAATTCAGTTTGGAAAAGTGAAACCGTCCTGTATTTCTACCTTCCGACGTTTGCAGCCCAAGTTGGTTTTATGTTGTTCTCAACTCGTTGCTTGTACTATATCCTCAGACCCTTAAACCAACCTCGTCTTGTTGCTGAGATTTTGGTGCGTACGAGTTTGTTTCCATGCATTCATTTTAATCATGTATCAATGAGGCCTTATTATGTATCATATTATGGACAAAACTTATACCTAATTCTTTTGGTACTTTTGATGTTATATTTCAATCAAAATTGGAGTTTCATCAAAGTAATCTGCATATTAACATTTATCACGCATATTATTGAGATAAAATCCTGTTTCTAATTGGAAAACTAAACGTAAAATACCTAAAGAACTGTTCATAAGTTTTTGACCTTATATTATATATATATAAAGTGGCATAAAGTTTTACATTATTATTAATTTGTGGGTAATTGATGTTAACAGATGGGGTTTCTGATAAGTCCAGAACTATTTGGATCATCAGCATTATCAGAGGTTCTCACGCCTATAAAATCAATCCTAACTACTGAAACCATATCATATGTGGGACTCATTTATTCCGTCTTCCTGGCTGGCTTGGACATGAACTTTGACACAATCTTAGGAGCAAAAAAGAAGGCCACAAGCATTGCCATTGCTGGAATTGCGATTCCAATGATATTGGGGAGTTTCATATACGCTTTAGCTCAAACTATGTACAAGGGACATCCGGAGTATTTGGCAGAATTCAACACAATCAAGGCCTATATATTTTGGACCTTAATTTATAGTGTCACAGGTTTTCCTATGGTTAGTCACATCCTTGCAGATCTCAAGCTTCTCTATACAGGACTTGGCAGAGTGGCCTTAACAACAGCCATGATCAGTGACTTCTATAATTGGGTCATGTTTGCATTGTTGGTTCCATTTGCCATTAACGGTGAAACTGCCATCTACTCGGTGCTGTGCACCATAGGTTTTGTCCTATTCTGCTTCATTGTTATCAGACCTCATTTGGTGGAGTTAATAGTGCGCAAAACCAATAAAAATGAGTGGGACAATTATGGTTTGCTATTTGTAGTCATGGGGGCCTATGCTTGTGCACTTGTTACAGATCTCCTAGGGACACACCCTGTTGTTGGGGCTCTAGTGTATGGAATAATGATACCTCGTGGTAAGTTTACTCACATGCTGATAGAGAAGTCTGAGGATTTTGGTGTTGTTTATCTGGCACCATTGTTCTTTGGTAGCAGTGGCATAAGACTCAGAGCAATATATGTTTTAAAAACTCAAGGTTTGGGCCTGGTGCTTCTAATTTTGATCCTGTCATGCATCCCAAAGATTATAAGCACTGTAGTAGTCACTCGCTTTTATGGCATGTCTGTTCTTGATGGTGTGGCTATTGGACTCCTTATGAACACCAAGGGCATCTTACCAATATTAATGCTCAACAGTGCCTGGGACAAGCAGGTATTGAGTAATAGAGTTTAGCACCTTCATATATAAGTTGTTTGCTTTCATGCCACTTGAAGTCAAATGCTGAAAGGACATAGAATAAGCATAATGAAGATTGAAAACAAATGTTGATGTGGCTAAAGACAAAATTAGATAAAGGATTGACCAAAACTTCTAAAAATACATTGCCTATAAGATGAACTATAGCACTCATTAATCAATATAACTGACTCAACATATTTAAAGTTGTTCCAGTATACTAGCATTTGCCAAATGATTCTTTATTACTCAATAATTATAGTTGATAAATAGCTCTGATTTTATTATTGTTTGTTTTCCTCCCAGATTTTGAGTGTGGAATCCTTCTCGATTTTGACCGTGGCTGTTCTCATAATGACCATGATGGTGCCTCTAATCATCAATGCCATATACAAGCCAAGAAAGCTATACAGGCAAAATAAACTAAAGACTATACAGAATTTAAAGGCCGAATCAGAGTTGAGAATTCTAGCTTGTGTCCATAACCCTCGCCAAGCCTCAGGAATGATCAACATCCTTGAACCATACCACACCACAAAACTTTCCCCTTTACACGTGTTTGCACTTCAGCTTGTAGAACTAACAGGGAACACCACATCCCTTTTGGCAACACACATCAACCAGCACAACCAACAACAAAGCGGTTCACAAGCACTCACCAAAGCACAAGAAGATTTGGAAAGCATCGTCAACATTTTCCAAGCATTCACAGGTACAAAAGAGAACACAACAGTTGAAACCTTTGCAGCTGCATCTACCTACTCAACTATTCATGAGGACATATACAATGTGTCACAAGAGAAGCAAGCAAACCTCATGCTACTTCCCTTCCACAAGCATTCAAACATAGAGGGCATTCTAGAGTTAACCAACAATACATTCCAAGACGTGAACCGAAATGTGATGAGGGATGCACCTTGTTCTGTTGGAATCTTTGTTGACCGTGGACTAGGGTCATTGTTCAAAGTCAACTTACGTGTGCTAATGATTTTCATTGGTGGACCTGATGACCGTGAAGCCTTGGCTGTTGCATGGAGGATGTCAAAGCACCAAGGGGTTCAACTTTCTGTTGCGAGGATCCTCATGCTTGGAGAGGCTGCAGAAGTTGATATGTTGAACAATGTTGAGTCTCGTAACCGTGGACTATTATCTGTGGTGCTAGACAATGAGAAGCAGAAGGAGTTGGATGATGAGTATGTGAGTGCATTTAGACTCAAGGCAGTGAGCAATGAGGATTCTATAAAGTATTCAGAAAAAGAGGTTCATTGTAGTGATGATATTCCTCGTGTGCTTAATGAGTTTGACCAAAATGGTTATGATTTGTACATTTTAGGACAAGGGGCAGGTAGGAACTCTTTGATCATGACAGAGTTGATGCACTGGACTGATTGTCCGGAACTTGGTGTTATAGGGGACATGGTGGCATCAAATAATTTTGGTTCGTGTTCTTCACTGCTTGTTGTACAGCAATATGGTTTTGGTGGAATGGTATTTGAGAATAATAATGCCTCACACCGTTCTAGAGAAGTGAATCCAAACCATGATGAATCTGAGTCTCATGCTGTTTAGGAAGAATAGATGGCTGTTTATTGGACAAACCATATGCCACCCAAAGAAGAGAAAAACTGTGCGTAGTTTTGTCAGAGGCTGGGAATTGTTTGTTCGAGTAGGTGGAAAATTAGGTGGATTGTTGGAGAACGAAAATAGAATGAATTTTCACACCATTCTTTCTACATGTCAACTCTTTTATTTTTATTTTTATGAGATGTTAGGAATGATGCCAACAATAACAAAATGAGATGTTATTCATTCTATGACAATTTATACCACAATTCTTTTTGTCTCTTTCTCTCGTGAATGTTATATTGTTTATCATATCTTATATACTTCTTTTTCTTTTCTCTCTTTCTCTTTATTAATTGTAAAATTTGTCCTACAAAATAATATTATTCATGAAAAAATATACTATCTAAGAGTAAAAATGTAAGTATTTTGCTCTTGATGTAAAACATAAAATCACGTTTCACTGCTCTTCCATGTTGTATTATCTATTTGATGAAAGGCATGTGGAAAAATTAAACAGTTAACTTTATCAAAATTGTATTCATTAATAAAATTGATAAAAATAACAAGTATTCTTATATTTGTTTTGTAGAAAACATTTCTTTTTTCATAATCAAGAGTGTCAATAACACACTTTGTAATATTTTTCTGTTAATATACTCTTTTATTAGTTAAAATTCACGTAAGATACACTAATTTGAAAATAAGATTTCCTGAATGAAAAATAAAAATCATATATTTAGTAAGATTTACATAAATTTCACTATATGCGAGAAAATATTTTGAAAACTTGTCTTACTAACATTTTTCTTTCATACATGTTACACATATCATATAATGTGTTATTATGAAAAACACATTGAATCACTAGAGTCAACCTGATTGACGAAGTGCAGTCTTTCACTATATCCGATTGGTAACATGCAATGAGAAACTATTAAAAAAAAAATAATGAAAAAAAAAAAAAGAATAAGAAGAGTATTAGGGGGGTGTATTGACATATTACCCAAAACTTCATGAGACATTTCAAGAATGCAGAAAGAAAAAAATTAATCATCAACATGGGTATGTAGTTCTTTTTTTATTCCTTTTTTATCATCAATTAAATTTTTATTCTTATTTGTTTTACTATATTTCCACAATAATATATTGTTGATTTTTTGCTCGTCTAAATTCACAGCTTATGAGATGACTGAGTCCAGGTTCAATTACTACTATAACATATTGAGAAGACAACTAGAAATTGAAGGTGTAATTGATTGACTCAACACTATTCCTAAAGAACAATGGACTCTTGCATGGGACTATGGCCGACGATTGGAACACATGACTACCAACTTGACAGAGACAATAAATTCAATTCTTAGGAAAACAAGAAATTTGTCAATATTTGCAATGATCATCTCGACTTATAAGAGATGTAATTCTTTATTCATCAGAGAGGGAAGGAAGTCGATGCTAAACTCAAAGCTAGTCAAGTTTATACTAAAATAATAAATAGGACCACGAGAAATGCATAATCCAAGGCTAATAGTCATTATGTCCTCAAATTTGATAGTTACAATACAAATTTTTTGGTGTAAGAGACCATTAACCTAAGGGAAGGACGACCGACTGAAAATTTCACAGTTATACTACATGAGATGTGGTGTGACTGTGGAAAATTCTAGAAGTTACACATGTCATGCTCTTATGTTGTTATTACATGTAAGCATGTTCACCATAATTACAAATCTTACATATTGTTGATGTTGGAGAGTGAATATGCATCTTTTAGACAAACTTTATTTAGATTAGCATAATCCACACATATTCGTCATTTTCCATTGGATTTTTTTACCATGACAACATTAGCTAATCATGTTGTATATTTGACTTCGTGGATAAAATTAGTGGCTAACAATTTTTTTGTTTCTGCTTTGACGGTATCTCTCTTTTCTAGTCCCAATTTATGTTTTTCAAGTGCAATAGGCCTAGTTTCTTTGCATAGTGCCAACTTGTGACACATAAAGTTTGAATCAACTCTTGGCATATATGCACTAGACCAAGCAAAGAGATCAACGTTTTTAATAAGAATTTATAAGATTATACCTTTTAAATTAGTATCTAAATTTTTGTTGATCTTAGTGATTTGTCTGAGCTTTGGTCCAAGTGGAGTTCGGTGAGATCATTGATTGAACCCGACCTATGCTCAAAGTTGATTCTATGATCTAGATTAGTAGAGTTGATTAGATTGACATGTGCAATCAAGGCTTCATGGTTGTCAGACAATTTTTGAAGTTGTTGATGATGACTCTAGCTATGTAACCTTCAAACCTTGTGTGTAACATTGTCACACTAGTTTTTGATCGTCCTTAACAATGATAACCCTTCCATTTGTCTCGGGAAATTTCATTGTCAAATGAGATGTTGACACTACAACTCCCAATTGGTTTAAAGTTGGTCATCCAATGAGAATATTGTAAGAGGCTTTTGCATCTACTAGAGAGTATTGCACTAATATTCTTTTAAAATTTCCAACAACTCTAAAAGTTGTTAGAAACTCCACATATTCTTTGGTAAAGTTATGCAAACTAATAATGTATACCTCAAACATTATTTTTTTCTTACTTTTCTAATAATATAAAAATAATTTTATTTCGATGATTATTGGTTACTATTGTTGTAAAAGATAAATTACTAGTAATGTAATATATTTTGGTTAATTGAATTTTTATAACATAATTAATAGAATCTCTTTGTAAAATTTATTAGCAAGGTATATATTAATTTTGTATAATAAATTCATAAAAATTATTGATGACACGTGAAACTTACGATTATCATTTATAATCTTGAGTGTTTTTTTTTTTAACAAATTGATGTTTATAAATATATTTTATTATATATTTTAATTTATTTTAAAATAAATAACTATAAATATTTTATATAAAATTTAATTTTTATACATTTGTTAAAAATATTTTAATTCTTAAATTTGAGTTTTAAACCATTTTTGACTCTATTCGTGTATCTATTCCAATTCTTTTCTCTAAAATCCTATGAAATCCTAAACCAATACACCCCCCTTAAACTGTTTCTAAGGTATCTTTTAAAAATGTCATGGTTTTCATTAATTTTGGTAAGAAATGAGAAAGCTCGAGCCAAAGCATTCTGCATAGTGCATAATGTTATAAATTAATTTGCACTACCACATTTTGTGTAATATACGTAGTTAATTTGTAACATTAAAAATTCGATTGCGCATTAATTTGAAGACAAGTTTGAGATTGTTTTTTAACTAGATTACGTTTGATATAACTGTAGTTAAAAAAATATAGTTTTTTTCGCTTTTTTAATGTGAAAAAAGGTTAAAATATTTGTATTAAATACATGTAGTTTTACTTATTTTATTTTTTAGTCTCTATAGTTTAAAATAGACATTCTTAATTTTTATATTTATCTTTCTCAATCTTTTTTAGTCCTCTTAATTTAAGATAACAAAAATTTAATTCCTATATTACAGTTGTTAATCTTTTTTAATTTATGTTGTTAATATTTTTGTAACATTGCCTCTTTTGTATTGACGAAGTATTAATTTAACTTTTTATGTTTGATATCGAATTTAATTTATTATAATTACTGTAAATTAAGTTGTTAATATTTTGTTTCTCTTTTATACTCACTTAAGACTCTTATTGTTGAGATGTTACAAATAAAAAATTAAAGATAAAGACTAAAAAGATTAAAAATTGTAAATATAAGAATTAAAAATATTTACCTTAAATTATAGGACTAAAAATATTATTAAAAAAAAGATAAATATAGAAGCTAAAATAATCTATTCTAAACTACAGAGATTAAAATATAAAATAAGTGAACTTATAAGAATAAAAACAATAATTTAACCAAAAATAAATATTTATTTTCTTCTTTTAGAAAACAATGACATTCACATTTCCAACTAACTTTGCTAAAAATGGCTCAATTATTTTATGTAATTGGATAATTCTTAACTGTTTGCCAAAAATTGACCACCTTACCACCTACGCCAGACAATGGTTATTTTTTATTAGTTATAGGAAAAGCCTCTCTGGTAATTGTTCGGAGTAGTCAATTGAAAGAAGTTTAACCCTCTATATTTAATAGTTTGAATTAGTCAATAGTACTGTACTTTATTTAATAAATTATCAACATTGAAATGGAATATTCCTCCCTTTAAAATAGCAAATTATCGATAACTTTAAACAACTTATTCAGAAAGTCAAATATCTTTGTTAGGAGTATCCTCAACCCAAATAATTGAACATCATTGTTAGGAGTATCCTCAACCCAAGTAATCGAATGTCATTGTTCGGAGTATCCTCAACTTGAGTAACAGTAATTGAATATCAGCACGAACACATACCACATACGAGGAACAAGACACGTAAACACACATTTGAATGGACCCGAATCATCAAAGTGTAAAAAATTACACTTGCAACCATTGATATTGGTGTCAAAACTCAAAAGTAGTCTATATTTCTCAGTACACTATTCCCATATATTAATGGGGGGGTTTACAACAACATTCTGCTTCACCAAATACATGAATATTATAACGCGTACACACTAATATAAAGGCATGACTTGCTCCTTTCCTTTCCCTTTACCCTAAAAACTACATGTTTAGTTTCTGTTAGGCATGTCTAAAAATCATGACTTGAGCAAAAGAGTGTCTCTCTTGTGCCATTTGTTCAAACATGATTTTGAGATTCCAAACAGAAAACCGAACATACTAAAAATCAATTCGTCAATCCGTGCTCAAACAAAAAGAAAATTCTGACCACGGAGACAAAGAATATAAGAGCTTATTTCCCAAAAGAATAAAATGTAGCAAATAATGAGGCAGATTAATTCTTCTACAATGCTTGGTTAGACCAAGACAAAGCCTTTCTAAGTTGTAAAAGCCACAAGGCAACTTGCATTCCCCAAAGTCGTACTTCCAGCAAAATCTTATTCAATTCAACGTTTAACCAAGTTAAAAGTGATCTGCTTTGCAACAACTTTGCCTCGATGACAGCCTCAGAAGAAACTTTTCCAATGATAAAAAATGTCTCCATAGATGATCCCTGTACCTGATCATATATCCAAAAGGAAAAAAGAAATCTATCATTATAAACAGACACAGCATTGACAGCAACCAGGACAATCTCAACTCTCAAGTGCTATTTTTACTTGCATGTGCTGGACTGGCAAATTTACAATTAGACACAAGCAACATTTGTTTCAAGAGTATTCATCAATCAATCATGTGGGGTGCAATGTAATAAATGGAAATTGTATGAATTGTATGTACCAGAGAATTGTTGACCGCCCGTAAACAGTCATTTGTCTTCATCATTAGAAGAATCACACGAGGTAATCTCCTAAGAAGCTCTGAGATTTCATGGAAATATTGAGAAGCATACATCTGCAGAACAATCAGGAAAGTCATTTTAGAGTTTTTTTTTACTCCAAGGGCATGCTAAGCAAGTAAATTCAACCGAGCAAAACATCTTTATATCTTGTTATAACAGGCTGACTTTTATTTTAATATTTAATAAAAAGTGAACTATGTTGTAATTGAACAATTTCATAAAACAGGTGGTTAAACTGCATATCATAGGAGTCAGGATAGACAAGAGAAGAATTAAGAAATATAAATACTCTGGTAAGAAAACCAGCATGAACATGGGTATTACTCCCAACGTTATTAGGACGTGTAAAGTGCTAGCACTATGATCCAAAAGAACATGAACCTGTGACTGAAATACAAAATCCTAGGGAAAATTTTCCCTTAAACTACATCTTACCTGCAGTTCTAATCGATCACTCTCATTTCCCTGTATAACTAAATGATCCATAGATGGATCAACAACTCTATTCCACGGTCTCATAGTTAGAACTCCAGCAAAAAGTGCATATAAATCCTCCCCAGCACCCAACTTTGTACTGTATTCCTTGATTGCATTAGCATCAGAAAATATCAATGCCTTCCATAGTGAAGCATAATTAGTTCTTGTTTGGACGTCAAGCTCTTTATAGAGTCCATGGTCTAAAAGGACCAACTGTGGTCTTCTCTTGCCTATACATTAGAAAAAAATAAATTTGCAAATTAACCAATAAAAAAACTAATAATCACACTATACCAGCATTGCCGTTTTGAAGTTTTTGTAAAAAAAGTTAAACAAGAAGAAGCCGAAGGTGAGCAGACAAACCAAAAACCTTATTGGAACAAGATCAATTATATTTAAGGAGAGTATAGGTATCTGCATTTGGATGATAATGGAAAGCATGAAAAACATTATGGTATTTGCAAATTGAAATTGCATATTTATTAATTTTGAAATTGGAAAATATTAATTATGTTCATTAAAAATATTCATTAAGAGCAGTGGAGAATAGATACACCCTGGCAAGTGTTGTTTCTTAAACATTTCTTCTCTAGGATCTAACCGATCTAGAGTTCCCTTAATAAAATTCATATTAATTTTGAAATCGGAAAATATTAATTATGGTCATTAAAATATTCGTGAATAGCAGTGGAGAATAGATTCAACCTGGCAAGTGTTGTTTCTTAAACATTTCTTCTCTAGCATCTTACCGATCTAGAGTTCCCTTAATAAAATTCATATTCATTTTCGTCTTGTTCTAAAGTCCTAAATTCCCCCCTTTTTACCAGTTGATACAATCATTTTGTTAATGCTCGATTACTCATAATAGCTATTAATTTTTCCCTGAAAATTGAAAACAGATTAAGCCCCTCAATTCAAATCAATGGAACAGCCACCATAATTCTAGAAAACCGTATTTGAAATGCTTATTCCATATTGAATTAGTGCTTAAAAGCTTCTCCTGGAAAAGCCAAATTTAGTTGATCCAAGGCTTTGTTAATAATATCCAATTAGTTAGGGGAGGGACTGTCATTCTTATGGGGAGAAATTTGCATATTATTTTTTTTTTTTTTGTTGTAGAAGCTAAATTAGCACAACCAATTGTCTAAAAGATATTAAAAAAACACAAAACAAAAAGTTATTTCTGGACAATAATAAGTAAAAGAAATAGTTTGAGTTTGGCAAGGGAAGGAATCCTTACCCAAAATGCTAGCTTTGCTGGAAGGCAATGGGCGAACCAATAAGTTAGCAGCATGTGGATCACAATGCACAAACCCATGTTTGAACATCATTTCCGCAAAAGCATGGCTAACCTGCAAAACGTTGATGACATTTTACTAAATTACTTGACGTGTGAAAGGGAGCTTTGGCATGATGGTTGAAGTTGTCACCATGCAATCAAGAAATCACAGTTTTGAGTTTCGGAATCATCCTCTTGAAAATGCAAAGGAAAGGCTGTACTACACAGTATAAACCCACAAAGTGATCTGACCATTCTGTGGGAAGGAGCTTTATCATTTATTTTGACAAAAATTGCATGAGGGAATTGAAACGCTCATTATTAATATTAAATTGCCAAACCCCATTGATATATGTTGCCTTGTCAAAGATATCAAAAGGTATATGCACTAGCAACACCTATTGTTGTTGAACATTATACAAGTATTTATAATGAAGCCCATAAACATGAAATTACCAATATTGAAAGTTCATGCGGGTTGATCCCAAGCTTCTGAATGGTCTTCACATCATTTACATAAGCACCTTCCATGAATTCCATTGTTAGCAGCTTTGAGGTACTCAGATTCCAATACACTTTTGGTGCATATACATAATTTGCAATATGAGGCGACAACTTGTGAAAGTTCTCCAAACACTTCTCACTGTTCTTTGCCTCGGTTAAAAAATCCAATTCCTGCAGTCATAATTCATAATATTAAGAAATAAAATCACAAATCACGTAGCCAAAAGGAAAAACATTAAGGAGAAAATAAAACAGAATGCAAGAATGATGAATGAGAAAACATAAAATTCCCAAAATCCAGCATATATCAAGAAAATTTCCTGCGTAAAACAGATATTAGGCATGCTAGGATGCCATAACTCAAACATATCAATTAAGGTATGGCTATACATATTTTTTTGAAAAAATCTCATGCAAATAAAAAAATTTGTAAAACAATAAGGTTAACAAGATAACTAAACTTCTAGACAACATTTACAGAGAAAGAGATCAAGGCTTGAATGCAGTGTACAATGAGACCAAATGAATACAATTCAATCCCCACCTCCAGCACCAAAGACAAAATAAAAATCCAGAAACTCAAGATAAACTACCATCATGACATGAAGACCTAGTGAACTTATATTAGGTATGTAACATACTGGAGGAGTATCACATGAATGCCCAATATTTTAAGCAATATGCAGATTCAACTAAGGAAGTAAAGTTCTACCCCACATTACTTTTTTTTATTGGGGAAAGTGGGAGGCAAGCATAAAAACTTAAAATTTTCTAAATTTATGTTTTCTTTGACCCCAATGATGGGTTACACAATCCTTTCAACATGCACAGAATGGCTTGTTAAATGGAAAAAGGATGACTTGGATATAAACCACTGGTCCACCAACAAAAAACCACCAAAAATAAGCATGGATATATTTTTAGGCACATGTACTGCTTCAAAGTTAAATAGCAACTTGCCTTGGGCAAACTTTCACTAATCTCATCAATCAACCACCTGCAGACAGAAGTAAACAGAATATTAATAAAATATTGGTGCAAATCAACCTATGAGAACAGATGATAAAAAAACTCCTGCTATAAAAACAACTTAGACCATTCAGTTTTTCCAATAATTAAACGCACACACATCCATCAGATGGCTTCTAAATTTCCCACAAAAATCATGATGCTGGTAAATTCCTAACAGCCAGTATCATGAAAGCAGTACCTGTAATCAAAACTGGGGAAAAATCTGTGCAATGTGTTCACAATCAATTCCACAGTAGCATGATCAGAAGCTGCAGTATCAGTCATGTGTGTATGCTGAACCTGAACATTGACAGATAACACATAAATGGAAATATTAATTATAAGAGTAAATCACACTTGCACCTCTTGAGGTTTTGTGAAATTGCATGTAACCCCCTTGTTTTTTTATCTTTTACAACAACATTCCTTATAGGGGAACACAGTGCAATGTTTTGCAAACAAATAAGGGAAGTCAAAGTAATGTCTAAGGGATGTCAAAGTCATGTTTTTCAAACAATTAAGTGAAAGTAGTGTAGAGGTAGAAAAAGCAAGGGGGTATCTGCAATCTAGTGAAATCTTATGAGTGTCTGTGTAATTTACTCTAATTATAAAGCATTAATACTGATATAGAAGAAAACTGATCCAAAATGCTCTTAAAAAATATGTACAAAGAATTAGCAACAACAAGAACCTTCACAGCAACTTTTTGGCCGTCATGCATGCGAGCTACATGAACTTGTGCAAGGGAAGCACTTGCTATAGGGACTGGATCAAACTCAGAAAATATCTACACATTAGAAGGCAAAATTCATTCACTGTGATAGCAATAACCATAACCATGACCAACAAAACTAATTAGACAAAAACAACGTATATGTCAACAAGGAACGAAACAAATAATACATACTTTATCCGGGGTGTCTCCAAGCTCTTTCTTGAAGACGCTGCATATTTGTTCATATGAAGAAACTGGACATTTATTTAGCATAGACTCCCTCATTGTCCGAACATATTCCTCAGGAACTAAATATTCCTGAAAATAAATAAATAAACTAACAACTCAACATTGTCTATTGTGCAATAGATGGACAACAACAGCAACTAATAAAGTCAGTTTTCTTCATATCTATTTTTCCCTTCAAAAACAGTAGGAGAGGAAATCAAAATATACCAACTGTCCAAGATGCTGTCCAAGCTTTATATAAATCCCTCCATTCTTAAAACAAAGTTCTTGAAGTTTTCGCGCTGACCGGAGGTGAACTTCACGTTTGATTCTCTCCCTCTCACTACTCCCTTCCGCGAGTCCCCACAGTGAATATTCATAATCTAGCAACAACACAAAATCAGAACCAGCCTTATTCATCCAATCTTCACTTTCACGAAATTAAACAGTTAAACAATATGTCTCCTAACCTACACACGCACACACAAATCATAATCCATAATTCAGAAAAGGATCACACAAAACTTCAATTCATAAACCATTTCTTTGCCTAAATTATACACAGTCCACGTCAATTTTCAACAAGTTCAATTATCCTAAGCACTAGTCACGCTTCAGTAATCATTAATTGAGAAGCTTCGAGAAGAAAGGAGGTCGAGTTAGATCTACAGTACCGAAAGCAATGTTGGCGGCCGTGACGGCGTCGCGGAAGAGGCGATGGGGGACGGTGGTGCAGAGTTTGAGCGCTGCTTTGGGGTCGTCGGAGGAGGCAATGAGTGCCGCCGTGACGCCACCGCCCGCGGCGGAGGCAACGAGAGAGAATTTGGCACTCGCGCGCCATAACCAAGCCATGTGATTGTTGGTGACAAAATGTGAACGATATAAATGATGCCATCCCTAATGTAAATGTATCAAAAGTGTTATAACAAAAATAAACGCGTGGGAATGTTCTATTTTGTTCATTTCAATATAGTTATATACACATATTAGTAAATTTTTCATATATTATATGTATATTTTTAATTTTAAATAAATTTTAAAAATAAAAATAAAAATATGAAAATAAATTATTCAATTTTATATAGTGAATTATAAATAAATTTAAATTAGAGCTGATTATAATTATATTAACATTAAAAATTAATATATTCATTGGAACAAGAACCATATATAATTTTTAATGGTCTCATTAACAAATGTCTTATAGATATTAATTAAATATATATATATATAAGAAATAATGATGAAATAAATTTAAATATATATATATATATATATTGATTAAATTTTTATGAAAACTCTTCATTTTTATTTAATTATCATCTTAAAGAAGCTTATTAATATTTTAATTTTTCATAATTTTTAAATTTGTAATTAATCAATTTACTCAAACTTTTGTCTTTTAAAAAATAATAGGATAATTAATTTTTTTTTTATAGATAACCAGATATATTTATCATATATTTGAGGTAACTAAGTCTACCTTAAAATGTTTCCCCACCCCTATGTCCTAGATCGTGATAGACTTACTGACTAATGTAAAAGAGTTTTGAAAAATTAAATATAATAAGTTGGAAGCAATGTCTAGTGAGTTATTCTTAAGGTGGACCACTAAAATTAGGTTGAGAAAGGACTATTATTATTAGCTCTTAATTTTATTATTAAAATATTTAATTGATTTAACTATATTAAAGAAGTATATTTTAAAATTAAAAAATTGTAGTTTAATTAATTGAGTGGTTGTGTGAATTATTGTAATTTTTGTATTTAACTTATATAAATAAAAATAATAATAATAGTGGTCCAACTATAAATCATTTATTAGAAGGTCGACACATAATTATTTGGAGGCGTTAAAATAATTTGGCCAATTTAATTTGGTCTCAACAGAATGATAAAATTTAAGTTTAAAAAATACCAAAATTATTTAGCTCACTATTTTTTCCTTTAAAATGCATATATTAAAAAAAATATAGTCAATTCGACTTGAACTAATTGAATCAACAAAAATATAAAAGCATGTTTAAGTAGAAATTAAAAATATTTTTTAGATTTACTGAAAATAAAGAATTAGTTTTTAAAAAAATAAAAAAGCACTTCTAAAATTATATTTAAATAGACTCATAATTTATAAAGAAACTTTTAAAATCACTCCTAAATTTATATTTAAATAGACCCATAATCCATATAAAAATTGAAATGAGTTGAAGCATTTATAACTCCTTAACCCAATAAATCAGGTAGATATTTTTACAGCTCTAGATTCAATTGTGGTTATTGTGATTGATCTTTACTCAAATCTCCTAAATGAGAATTTCATATCCAACCTATATATACTTCTATTTCATTGTTATTATTTTGCTATAATAAACATTAATTTAAATGCCAAATGTTTTAATAAATATTCATAAAAGATTCACCATACAAAAGGAATTCTACATATCTAATATCCACTTATATTAGATATGTGAAATATTCGCAGAAATAACTTTTGCCACCCATAAAATTTTTACTTAACTTGAGCAAGATGGTCTCTAATAGATGAAATATGTTATTTAAAAAAATAAATAAATAAAACTGTTTAATTATGAAAAATGTTTATTCATAAATTTGTGCATGATACAAATATTTCTCTAGTTGTAATAAAGCATTGCAACGACGTGGCTATTGAATTGTCTGGAAGTTAGAAAAATCTTCAATTTGGGTTGGGTCGAATGGTTTGTTTTGGACATGTGTAGGCCCAATGAAGCGATTCCAGGAGACAATATCTACACATGCTACTGACCCAATTTCACAACGTCTATTTAAATGTTTGCATATTAAATTCTGTCAAGTTTCCCTGCACTATTTTCTGTGCTTTAAATTACGTGCAAATATTGTTTTTCATTAAGTACTAAAATAATCACAAAGAGTAGACTGAACTCCTTATGAAATTATTATTATTATTATTATTATTATTATTATTATTATTATTATTATTATTTTCTAAGTGTAATTGAGTTAAAGCACGTATCAATTTTATTGATTACTAATTCTAGTTGAAAAACTTAGCTAATCACTAAGAATTTTTTCTTTTAATCATTTTTTTAATCTACAATACTAAAATTTGAAATATTATTAAAAGAATTTGAACTCAATTTCATTAGAATCAATGATAAGTCGATATTATTTGGGTATTTAATTTTGTTTCTTTGATTTTTCTTTTCAAATAAATCCTTTGATATACACAAGTCAAACTAAGAAGAAGAAAAATCCAAATAACAAAATGTTTTAATACTCACGCCCAATATTCACATATAAAGTTGTGTTTGAAAATCCATTCAACATTGGTTGAACATATATTTTCCACTTCCCGTCACAATTTTTTTATGCTGGAAAAATCTAAATAACAAAAGAAAAAGGAAAATAAGACAGTTATGTTGGAGTCACCATGTTGCCTAAAATATCACTAAGCCTAAGCATTGCTAAAAAAAATAGAACAAAAATTTCACAAATGAAAGATGTTTCATATATATTTTGCAAGCTATTCAACATATCAATTATCCTCATTGTATGTGTGTGCTGAAAAGTGAGTCCATGGAAGAGTTTTGAATTCTTGAATCTTTGAAATAATATCCTTACGAGGATGAAAGATCAGTTGATCATTTATTATAAGATCAATAAGTTTGGCATTAGTCTTACAAATAAGTTTGTGCATGCCTTGATTTCAAGCAAAATGTGAGACCCCACACCCGCAACATCTCTTTTCCACTCTCTTTTCTCTTTTTTTCTCCTTACTCTCTCCCAAGCCTCTTCTCCTGGTTTTTGATCTCCTTTTCTCTTCCCCAAGTTGAAGCAGTGAGCTAAGGCGGTGCTCTTCTCGTGGAGCTAGCGGATAGCGGAGCTTTCCTTTTCTCCTTCTTCCATTCTTCTCTTCCCGGAGCTCGGAATCTTCTCCACCGAGATAAGGGAAGCTAGGTTTTTGCTGGATTGGTTGGAAATGAGTTAGAAACTCATTAGTTGTTTGATGTTGGATATGATTGAGGTGCTGAGTTGAAGAAACTTCATTTTCGGGGTTTCGGGGTTATGGGTGAAAATTTGGGTTTTTCATGTTTTGATGGTTACATGTGGGTAAAGCTGGGGTTTTTGAATTGTTTGATGAAAATGTGGTTCTTTGGATGGTTTGCACGTGCCTGGATTGGTTGTTTGTGCAGGTTTTGATGGAAAATTTTGAACTTAGAGGGTTGCTACTTGGTAGCACGCCGAGCGCAGTTCTTAGCGTCGGGCGCATCACCATCAAAGGGCTATATTGGGCAAGCCTGCCAGGCGCAAGGTTGTGTGCGCCGAGTGAGCTTGAGAATGGGAGCCCCTGGATGGCCCACGCCGGGCGTGGTTAGATCGCGCTGGGCGCAATACTAGTTAGTAACTTAGCATTTGGGGTTTTGGTGTGGCGCCGGGCGTAACTATGTCTCGCCGGGCGTGGAGACTCCTTGGGAGCCTCTGCCAGGGGTGGCGTCGGGTGCAATTGCTATTGCGTCGGGCGTGAGACCTTGGGGAGGTCTCTGCCTTCCCTGCGCCGAGCGCGGGTTTGGCACGCTAGGCGCGTTTGAGCCTTGGGCTCTCTAGTTGGTCCACGCTGGGCGCGAGTACTCTTGCGCCGGGCGCGGATGTGATCTTTCTTTGTATGTTGAAAGATGCTGATATATGCTGATATATGCTGAGAGATGCTGATATATGCTGATATATGTTGATGTTTGCTGAGTTAAGCTGTTATTGATGAATGTTGTTGAGATGATTGATGATTTTGTTGTGCTGTGAGATGTTTATTGCTGAATTATGATGTTTAAGCTATATTGTTGTAAAAGTTGAGTTGTGTCGTATGGTGTATGTTGTTATTGCTGTTATGTTGTACTGTGCTGCATGATGATATAAACTGTTGTAAGCCGTAAGGCTGAGCTATTGTAAGCCGTAAGGCTGAGCTGTTGTAGGAGATCTCCGAGCTGATATGCGTGACGACGCATTGTTTGTTTAATGTTGTTATTGCTTAATGAAGTGAGATGTATGTTGTGATGCGTTGTATGCTGATTCATGTTGAACTTAATGATGTGTTGGTAGTTGTATCTGTTTATAATTTTTGTATTTATATATACATATGTTGATTCTTTTCACTAGCTTACCCTTGTTGTTTCTAAGTGGTTTGGACTGCAATGATCATACTGTGTATGGGAGCAGAGCAGGGATAGGTTGGTGTGTTGAGGCAGGTCTGCAGCTGGCAGATGCAGCTAATGTTTGATGTTTTTGGCTACTTAGTGTAGCTAATTTTGATGTATTCTGGTTGTATCTTGTATTACTTTTGAGCCCCAAGCTAGACATATGTGTATATATTTTGTTATTTATATATACATGCTTTATTCTGCGTGGTGTTGTTTGATGTGTGACGGTCAGACGAGTCATTACACAGAACATAATTCACAATAGATAATCATTAATTTAGTGTTAAGGTTGGTTGAGCAACCCAAGTAATTATAATATCCAATAATTTAATTACCCAGATTGTCTCTAATAACACCTTAGAACCTTGAAGATCGTGAATCGTCTAAGGAGATGCCATCTAAATTTAGTTTCATATAATCAACTGTAAGTGATTTTCATGAGACTTCAATTGGATGATGCATTTTATCTACTTCTTGAACATTTTAGACATTATTTCAGAAAGAGAATTAATCTGACTTTTAATATATTAGAGTGATCAAATATTTTCATTAAGGATTTTTCACTCCAACTAAGTAAACAAAATGTTGGAGTTGAATTGACGGATATATTAGATATAACTAATACACACACATGTATTAAGTGAGTTTGAAATTCTATTGAATTTAACTAAATAGCAATTCATCTCATCTCATCTCTT